TCTATATACACACACACACACACACACACACACCACACACACACACACACTCTATACACACACCCTATCACACACACACACTTATACACACACACACCACACACACACACACACACACTATACACACACCCTGACACACACACACACACACTATACACACACCCTGACACACACACACACACCCTGACACACACACACTGACACACACACACACACTCTATACACACTCCTTTCTACTCTGTACGTTACTGTCCTACAGCCCCATGTCTCCTTCCTCCTCGTTTCCTCTCCTCGTGTCCTCACCGTGCGCCTCGCGTGCACACTCCTCCAGTCTCCCCCGCACGTGCTGCATCCTGGTGACGTCACTCATCGATCACGTGAGTCGCGTTGTTCGTAAAAATCCATAAATGATCAAAAATGAACTTCTGAAGAGACGGAAACACGCGCCTGTGTTTACATGCACGGAGCATGCGCACACCGCGCCGCCACGGGAGCAGGCGTGTGCGCATGTGCAGACAGGAGCGCCCCTGCAGGCCGGAGGCAGGAGCAGACAGGCGCAGACAGGAGCAGGAGCAGACAGGCGCAGACAGGAGCAGGAGCAGAGCAGCAGGACAGGAGCAGGAGCAGACAGGAGCAGCAGACAGGAGCAGACAGGAGCAGACAGAGCAGACAGACAGAGCAGACAGGAGCAGACAGGAGCAGACAGGAGCAGACAGGAGCAGACAGGAGCAGACAGGAGAGACAGGAGCAGACAGGAGCAGACAGGAGCAGACAGGAGCAGCAGACAGGAGCAGACAGAAGCAGACAGAGAGCAGAACAGAGCAGACAGACAGAGCAGACAGGAGCAGACAGGAGCAGACAGGAGCAGACAGGAGCAGAATCACAGTGAGTTTCAGCGGCAACAAGAAACTGACGATTTAAAAACGAACAAAACAAGAAACAAGAAACAAACCAGTGTTTTTATTCAAAAAACTAAATATATGAAAGAAATAAAAGACTCAAAGTACAACCACAGACAGGTGCACAGACAGGTGCAGAGACAGGTGCAGAGACAGTGACACAGACAGGGACAGGGACACAGACAGGTGCAGGGACAGGTGCACAGACAGACAGGGACACAGACAGGTGCAGGGACAGGTGCAGAGACAGGGACACAGACAGGTGCAGGGACAGGTGCACACAGGGACAGGGACACAGACAGGTGCACAGACAGGGACAGGGACACAGACAGGTGCACAGACAGGGACAGGGACACAGACAGGTGCACAGACAGGGACAGGGACACAGACAGGGACAGGGACACAGACAGGTGCACAGACAGGGACAGAAACACAGACAGGTGCACAGACAGGGACAGGGACACAGACAGGTGCACAGACAGGTGCATAGGCAGGTTTCTTTTAGTTTTTTGTGACTAAACACTTTTCAAACTAAATGTGCCCTCAGGGCTCGTCTCCATGGAGATGTTGTGGCTTTGGAAAGTTCCACATTAAAACATGAAACTTTCTTTTTTTATTCTTCACAAATTCCTCGACAGACGTGTTTTTACTCAGAGTGACGTCGCCTCGCCACAGATCTGACCTGTAAACTGTCCTCGTGGCTTTGTCTGTTTGTCTCCGTGGAGACGGGGGGAGTTTAAAACACACACTGGAACATTTCAGACAAAGCAAACTGACAGAGCCTCCACCTCTAAAGTTCCACAGTGCAGCTTTAAACTCGAGTGAATCAGATTTAGAATCAGTTCAGACTCGAAGCAAAGAGATTTAATTCAATCAAACCGCGCACTTCCTGCTGCAGTTCAGTTTATTCTGAGAGAAACATTTTTAAATCTGCTCCACGTCACATCAGAGCGAAAAGTGAACGGAGTGAACGAAGTGAACCGACTTCTGCTGTTTCTTCTGCTTCTGCTGCTTTCTTCTGTCTGTCTGTCGTCTGCTCCAGGTGACACTGATGACTGCTGCTCGTCAGGAGATTGGACTCACCTGCTCTGGTCCTGGTCTGGTCCTGGTTTGGTCCTGGTTTGGTCTGGTCCTGGTCTCTGGTCTAGACTCTGGTCTTTGTAGACGGTGTGATCATGGACGAGACGGCGCTGGAGAGATACTTTGACGACTCGATCGCGAATGTGAGTGGATCTAGAACCACTGAGATGTTTTTGTTGTTTGTTTTTTTTTCATTTTAATTTTCACGTAAATTTCAAAATGTCAAATCCACAAAAGTTTTATCCTCATCATCCTCTCCAACGTCTGGGAGGGCATCTGACACACACAACGTCTGGGAGGGCATCTGACACACACAACGTCTGGGAGGGCATCTGACACACACAACGTCTGGGAGGGCATCTGACACACACAACGTCTGGGAGGGCATCTGACACACTGGGTTAGAGTTTGTGTTTTCTTTGCAGAGGGTCAGAGGGTCGGGGATTCACTTTGTTTTTTTGTTTGTTTGTTTTTTGTTCATTTGGGTTTTTTTGGGGTTTTTTTGGTTTTTTTTTCAGGATTCTGGGTTTGATTTGGGGGAGGGGCTTGACCTGCAGAGCCCCGCCCACCTGCTACACGAAGAGGGGGCGGAGCCAAACACAGAGACCGCCGACGACCTCGACCTGAGCTTCCTCCCGGACGAACTCAGCCAAGGTTAGACCCGGTTCGGTCCCGGTTCGATCCCGGTTCGATCCCGGTTCAGACCCGGTTCAGACCCGGTTCAGTCCCGGTTCAGACCCTGTGTGTCTCAGTCTCAGGTCCGTCTCAGGCCTCGGTCCTCGACGCGTCTCTGGACAGTGGTTTGGTGTCGGACTTCGTTTCCCAGGATGCCTCGGAGGAGTTGCCCGCGGCGACGGTGGATCAGAGCCAGGGGGCGGAGCTGTCCGGGTTTGGCTCCTCCTCCTTCTGCCCCATGACCCCGATGACCCCCGTGACCCCGATGACCCCGGTGACGGAGAGGTCGGGCATCGTCCCTCAGCTGCAGTAAGAACGACCCTCAACAGCACAGCCGCCGTTTTAGCCTCATTTAAACTGCCGTGCGCACGAACACAAACCACTGAAAGAGTTTAGAACATCTCAAAACTACTGGTCGTGATCGTGTCCTGCACCACTTTGCTTTGTCAACTTTAAAGTTTTAAATGTGTTTCAGAAATATCGTGTCCACGGTGAATCTGGGCTGTCCTCTGGACCTCAAGTTCATCGCTCTGCAGGCAAGAAACGCAGAGTACAACCCCAAGGTACTGGACCAGGACCAGACCAGGACCAGGACCAGACCAGGACCAGGACTAGACCAGGACCAGGACCAGGACCAGGACCAGGACCAGGACCAGGACCAGAGCAGGACCAGGACCAGAGCAGGACCAGGACCAGGACCAGACCAGGACCAGGACCAGGACCAGACCAGACCAGAGACCAGAGCAGGACCAGGACCAGGACCAGGACCAGGACCAGACCAGGACCAGGACCAGGACCAGGACCAGAGCAGGACCAGACCAGGACCAGGACCAGAGGACCAGGACCAGGACCAGGAGCAGACCAGGACCAGGACCAGGACAGACCAGGACCAGGACCAGGACCAGGACCAGGACCAGGACCAGGACCAGGACCAGGACCAGGAGCAGGACCAGGACCAGAGCCAGGACCAGGACCAGGACCAGGACCAGGACCAGAGCCAGGACCAGACCAGGACCAGGACCAGGACCAGACAGGACCAGACCAGACCAGGACCAGGACCAGGAGGACCAGGACCAGGAGACAGGACCAGACCAGGACCAGAGCAGGACCAGACCGCAGGACAGAGCAGGACCAGAGCCAGGACCAGAGCCAGAGACCAGAGCAGGACCAGAGCAGGACCAGGACCAGACCAGACCAGGACCAGACCAGACCAGGACCAGGACCAGAGAGGACCAGAGCAGGACCAGAGCAGGGACCAGAGCCAGGACCAGGACCAGAGACCAGACCAGGACCAGAGCAGGACCAGAGCAGGACCAGACCAGACCAGACAGGACCAGAGACAGGACCAGACCCAGAGCAGGACCAGGACCAGGACCAGGACCAGAGCAGGACCAGAGCAGGACCAGAGCAGGACCAGAGCAGGACCAGGACCAGACCAGGACCAGAGCAGGACCAGAGCAGACCAGACAGACCCAGAGCAGGACCAGAGCAGGACCAGACCAGACCAGAGCAGGACCAGAGCAGGACCAGACAGGACCAGAGCAGGACCAGACCAGCACCAGGAGCAGGACCAGGCACCAGAGCAGGACCAGAGCAGGACCAGAGCCAGGACCAGGACCAGCAGGACCGAGCAGGACCAGGAGCAGGACCAGGACCAGAGCAGGACCAGACCAGAGCAGGACCAGAGCAGGACCAGAGCAGGACTGGTGTGGGGTTCATGTTCTATAAACGATGGTTGATGTTCCAGAGGTTTGCTGCTGTGATCATGAGGATCCGAGAGCCCAGAACCACAGCTCTGATCTTCAGCTCTGGGAAGATGGTCTGCACCGGAGCCAAGAGGTACCACCTGACACCAGAACCAACACCAACACCCAACCCGGTCTGGTTCAGTCCTGGTTCAGTCCTGGTTCAGTCCTGGTTCTGGTCTGGTTCTGGTCTGGGTCTGGTCTGGTCTGGTCTGGTTCTGTCTGGTTCTGGTCTGGGTCTGGTTCAGTCCTGGTTCTGGTCTGGTCTGGTTCTGGTTCTGGTTCTGGTCCTGTTCAGTCCTGGTTCAGTCCTGGTTCAGTCCTGGTTCTGGTCTGGTTCAGTCCTGGTTCAGTCCTGGTCAGTCTGGTTCTGGTCTGGGTCTGGTCTGGTCTGGTTCTGGTTCCTGGTTCAGTCCTGGTTCTGGTCTGGGTCTGTTCAGTTCCTGGGTCTGGTCTGGTTCTGGTCTGGTTCTGGTCTGGTTCTGGTCTGGTTCAGTGGTCTGGTTCAGTCCTGGTTCTGGTCTGGTTCTGGTCTCAGTGAGGAGCAGTCTCGTCTGGCCGCTCGTAAATACGCTCGTGTGGTGCAGAAGCTCGGTTTCCC